CCTTCTCTACATTAACGTTCTTTAAGAATATTGTAACATGACTATACAACTGAGACTCTCTAATGCAATTTATATAATTCAATAAAATTTAAGGAAAAAGTGGTTGTCTATTATATTTCAAACCTGGTCCCCTGTTTAATGCGCCTTAGTATACCAAGATACATTGACCTGCTTTTTTTCATTCTAAAGTCCAGAACATAGTATTGTTCTTAGGAACACCATTTTTGGTTTGGCATGGACAGGTAATAAATTCTAAATTGGCTATGGTAGCTACTGTATATTGTAGTGAATCTAATGTCACAGACTCGCATAGCTAGAGCTCTTAGTTGTGCCAGTGAAAGCTCTTCTGAGAGTGGTAACTGGTGGTCTAAAACTGTTCTCCATTCTCTTTACTGGTCTGTTTCATTGGTCTTTTGTCTGCCTCTCATGTTAATGCTAAAGCCTGATGAAGGGACCCTGTGCGGTCCTGAAAGCGCTTGTTTGGTCATATGACAAAAAACTTCAATAAATGAAGCTTTTGCTATCCTAAAAGGATTGGTGTGCTGATGACATTTCTACAATTGCTGACATTCGCGGCGCCATCCGCGGTCACTGCGAGCACCCCCCACTACAAGGGACATATCGGTAAGGAGTGCGACAAGGATAGTACTTATTGCCTCTCATGTTATGTCTCTTCAGAAGGATTCAAACAGCAGACAACACACTCCCACATTACAGACAAGAAATACGATCTAGTACTTGATGTGGCACATGCCAAGCGTTTTAGCTAAGTCATGGGACTTTTTGTAGATAAAAAGTAGAGATTGAATATGGTGGGAGGGGGTGGGGTGTGAAGGGGTTCTTGTTGTTTCTCCCTGTAGATGTGTTTTACATTTGATCTACCGGTATTTCTCTTAAATGTAGATAATGCTTTGCAGTGACATTTTTAATTACTTAATTGCTTCATACAAACAAATGCTATTGGTGTTTTAGTTTAATTAGCAGAGGGAAGTTTGTTTTTAGAGTGTTGTGAATGCATCACAAAAAGACCATATTTCAGCTCTTTTTGCTTAACTGCTTTACTATCTGACTTCATTTGTCTTGTCTATCCACAGTGTCACTTAGAAAGGCACAAAGGCCAGATCTATTGCGTAATCAAGTCCCTTATGATTATAGCAAACTGGCTTAAACAAAATTAGTCATCACAACTATTTATCCCACCTTTCACCTTGCCAGGTTACATCTCTGAACCACACTGTCCTGTGTAATCATAAAAACAGTAGGTAAAACATTAAACATGGCCTAATATTATGTATTATTCAATAAGAAATATAGCGTAGACTATAAAAGTACAGTATATTAAATTCACGGTTTGCAGACCTGATGAACTAATGTAAGAAAAACACAGTGACAGGAATCCCAGGTGACATCATTAATTAAATTTGATTATTGAACATATTTGGTCAATGACATCACTCAGGATCCACAGCGCTGTGGTAACAGAAACACAGTACCAGCAACCCGGTATTTTTTGATAGGTGTGCAGCATGTAAAGATCAATTTACATCATGAATGACGGATTACATTGCTGGACATTGTTATTGACATTGATCACATCAGGGGACATTAGTAAAAAAAAATTAATTATAGTTAATTGTACTTATTAGAAGACTTTTTTTTTTAAGATGTGTGTATTTATTTGCATTCAAATTTGTGGGAAGGGTAAGGGGCACCAGTGTACCCCTGTGCTCATTCCCCTGTGAGCAGGCAGATATTATAAAGGGTCTTCCACATAACTTCCCCCATATTACCCACACCTTCCTTTTGGGGGTATTGCAGGTGGGGAAGAGGTCCTCATCGCTGTACATTTGGTCAAAGGTACTTTGCAGGGATACGGTGGAGGCTTTGCCGCCCCTCTTGCAAGCTACTCCCTCAATGTTGAAAGGCATGCGGCCTGGTATGATACAGTAAGGGGAAAGGGGAGACCGCAGGCTCACTGACTTTCCTATTCTGGCCGCCCAGGCTGTATGCCTGGATAAAGGTCTGGTTGGAATATTAAGGGAAACCCCATGCCCTCTTTTTTTTTCTTTTTCTTTAATATATGCAAGCTACAATGAATCAGATTGGGGTGCTGCTGTAAGCCAAACTAAATGGAAAATGAAAAAAATCTATTCCACAGCCAAATATGTGCTGCCAGTGTATGCTGTCACTGAGACTGTCCATGAAAATCATACTGTTCTTTAACACCATGTATAGTTTTAAGATGTCTGCCAAGTAAGGTATTAAAGATTTGTGCATTTCTTAATGCTGACCTTTAAGCAGCAAGAAAAGACCTTCTCTCTGCTGTACTGTATTTTTTTAATGTTGGTTTATGTCACCCATGGCATGCCATACTCCCTTTTCAACAATAGCTTGCTAATTAGCCTTGAAATGGGCAGGAAAAATTACAAAATAACAACTCTCCTCCCATAGACTTCAGTGGGCTTTGGTACTAAGTTCGGGTCTCACAGACTTCATGTTGAGTTTGCCAATTCTCTCGTGAACTGAAACCAGGAAGATTCCTTCATCCCTAGTGGCTACATTTAGTTTTGGCTTTTCAGGCTAATTGTTTTCAAAAAATACATATTGATCTTGCCAGAAATGCAGTGTCCCTTTTATTTCCTGTGAATTTAACTAAAAGCACAACAATCTAATCTTTCTTGTAAGATAGAGTACATTCTGTAAACTTCAATTCCCCCTGGCCCGCATGTAATAGAGATGAAGAGAGTAAGATGTGTTTGTAGTCCAAATCGGAAGAGCTGCCTAGGGTGGTGACCATGGCTCCCTCTATAACACAGTGCTGTGACCTTAGCCACCCATATGACAGGCAGTGTGTCATTCCCACTATTACCAGGTGAAAATAAAGAAAATTAGGCATGAAAAGAAAAATCAAATGCAACACCACATATAAGGTGCTGCAATATTTGTTTGTTTTTGTGTTTAGATATACCATTTAGTAGAAAATGTGGTTTCTAGTCAAATATGAACCTTTTAGATTTAAAACCGAACTCTGGACAAACATATTTTGAGATTGAGTGGCTCATGAGATGGGCAGGTGAAGAAGAATCTCCCCAATGGAAACACAAACAGCACCAAAACCAGTGTGTAAATGTTAGAACATCTGTGAGGGTCCATTGTTCCTTGCACACACATTCCTACCCTGGTAACACCCATTTGTATTTCTTGTAATGGTGACATGGAGAAAAAAAGGAGTTAAAAACCCCCTGATGGACTCAAAGACTGCATAATTTACCTGACAGTGCTTCAAACACTTATTTCATCTATTAAAAAAATAAAAAAAACAGAAAACATTTGGAGCTTCAGAATCACAGCTTACTTATTTAATTTAAAACAAGCTTCATTTAAACCTGCCCATAAATTACAGCCCACCCACAAAGAAGCTTTTTTTTTTTTCATTTTGGCAATTTGGTAATGCAATTAATTTTTTCTTCTTTCATAGAAATAAAACTGTTAAGATTGAGGGATTTATTCATAAAGCAGTAAATGTGATACTTAACATAAATGCAATGCAGGTATATCTTCCACATTCTTGTGTTTTTTAATTACAATGATCGAATTGCCTGCATTGTTTTGTGAATTGCTTGGTCAATTTTGACTGTAGCTCCATTTCAATCACTTGTTCCGGCTAGCCTTAACTATACGGCGGGCCAAAGAAGTGTTCTTGGAGTCATTTTAAACAGCCAGCGATAGCTGTTAAGATACAAGCGATCCAGCGTCTAAACAGCCGTCGGATCATTTGTACTGATCAGCGGAATATGCTGCCCTCACCTCCCTCCGCCGGCTTCCCCGGGCTCCACTGTCCCCCATGCGGGCCCAGGACCAGCACAGTAGGTCTCCCCGCATCGGTCAGAGAGGGATTAGCAGGCTTCAAGCCATTAATCTCTCCTCCAATCACTGAACTGGAGAATGTAAACAGTGACACCAGAAGTGATGTGATACACATCAATTCCAGTATCACTGTTTACATTCTCCAGCTCTTAGAGACAGGAGAAGAAGCTGGGGAAGCAGGTATCTGCTTCCTCAGCTTCTTTGGGGTCCCTAGTTGACATTAGGGTTCTGAAAAACACCCTATCTGCTATTACATTGGGGGCTTGTTAGCCCCCCCTATATGATAGTAATAAAGTTAGTGTAAAAAAAAAGTGTTTAAAAATAATAAATAAAAGTAACATATTAAAAAAATGCAAAAAATGTATTTTTTAAAGTCCCCGCCCCCCGCGTGCACGCACATATATATATATATATACACACAAACACACTATAAGTGCGCCTACGTGCAAAAACGAAAATTGCGCTACACATGTTACATATCGCTGTGAACGTCGGAGTGAGAGCAATAATTCTAGAGCCATTAATCACTGTTGGCACTAAACTGATGAGCGGTAAAAGCTTTTAAAATGTCCCCTATGGGAAATTTGGGGTATTGAAGTTTTTTGCGGTTTCAAGGGCGAACGCAATTTTAAGGCTTGACATGTTTGGTATCTATTTACCCGGCGTGACCACATCTTTTATATTTTATCAAAAATTGTGTATTATATTCTGTTTCCATGCACTAAATTTTATTTTAGTGTATTGTATTCTAAAATACTGGTTTGATAAACATTTACGCAAATACCGTACAACATTAAAAATTACAATTAGCATTTTTTTATTTTACAGGGCCTCTGCTTTCAGAAAATGTATAATTGATGAGGGTTTTAAGCTGTTTTCTAGCCAAAAATGCATATTTTATCGCGGTTGCAAATATTAAGAAAATTGCTCCGGACAGCAAGTGGTCAAATTACTCATAAAATTACTCATTGACGTGTTGGTAAGAATAACATGCAAATTAGTGTGCCTTGGCCTTTTTTTTCATTATTATATCGAACAAAATAATAGACTTATAGTTATTTGATTTGTAAAAGTTCTCTTTATTAAATCCAAATAAACATATGAGAAATAATTTCTATGTCTTCTTCCTACAGATACATGGCTATAATTAATCCATTAAAACCGCGCCTGTCTGCAACCTCAACAAAGGTAGTCATTGGAAGCATTTGGGTCTTCGCATTCCTGCTGGCTTTTCCTCAGTGCCTTTATTCTGAAATCAAAGTGACGCCAAGAAGAACTCTTTGTCTGCTTGTATGGCCAGGATATGGGAAAAAATTAACGTAAGCAAATGTGAAATTTGGGTATATGTTTTTATCTGAATGCCACATATAGAATCCAAAAGCCAGTTAAGGAAAGAGAAAGCGGATTCCCTGTCTAAGCAAATGTCAAGCGAAAGGGCAATGTGATCATTTTTTTTGTATAGAGGTCAGCAGTTTCATTTGCAGCACCTAGGAAATTCATATGGAATTTATTAGTTATGTTAAACTTCAAATCATACTTCTCCAGACTAGTGGCATTTTTTACTTAGATTGGATCATATAAAAATGATGATCACAACACATCAGTCAATTACATTTTAAATTTAGTGTGAGAAATATAAACATAGAGCACTGTATAAAGCGATAAGGTGCAACTGTAATGGAAATCATGTCTTTCAATGGCAGCAGTTTAAAAATGGCCTATAATAGTTCTCTGCTTTATTGCCTTAGCCATACCCAAGGCCTGCTGAATCCTATGGAAAAAATAAACTAGTATATTAAAAATCTATTTGTATTAATAGTTGTCTAGTGCACTGTAAAGAAAGTGTTTGAAGAGGCCCAATTTTTGATCCTTTACTTTCAATATAAAATGTCTTGATAAATATATAGCAGATTAAGTAAAACCACTACTTTTATGTGTATACCAATATATTTGGCTGTCTGGAACTGTTTTCAGTTCAGTGTTATTGTTGATGGGCAGAATCTCATTATTTTTGGTGGATAAAAAAAAAAAAAGGATACGTATGTAGTTATTTTAGGGCTGAACACTAAATAGAATTAAATTTCATTTTTGTGTAAGGTTTCTTCAAAATATTATGAAAGTCTCAAACTCCTTTCAATAATAAATCCATATCAAACTAGTATACTTTGCCTAGCAAAGTTTTTCCTTATATTTTCTCCCAAACACTTATAGTCATCATGTTTACAAATAGCTGGCTCCGAGTCTCTCAGCTCAGCTTCCCTGAACTTCCTGTCCAGTTCAAGGTCACAAAGGACATCATAGTCTCCAGTAGCTGTTTATCTACTAGCTTGGAGAGGAAGGAGTAGGAAGGAGTGGGGGAGTAGGAAGCAGAGGATTGGCTTGCCCTGTGTGTTTGTGGAGACACACTCAGCTTGCTAGCACACCCAAGGGTGGCTCCATAGGACACTGCAAGGGAAAGGTGCCACCTTAAAATAGGATATCAAGACCAATGTTCAGGGGACCAGCTGATTTGGCAGGAAACTAAAACTTTTAAACATCAAGGAGCAGCATTCATTGTAAGTGATTTAATATCAGCATTTGAAAAACCTTTTTAATTTAGTATTGCTTTAACTCATTCCACAGATAATGGTACATTATTTCACTGTATTATTCAATTATACTCAGTTCTCCCTTTTTGCAGTCTTGGTTGCAAGCTGCATTGTAATAGCTGTCCTGCTATGTAATGCAGCGTCAGGGAAGCGGCAGTAGTTGCCGAGGAGCAGGGCATAAGAGATATATCATAGAAACTTTGTTGATGCCTTTACCTTATTTGTTTGTGTCCCTGTTTCAGAATTTACTTCAGTTCCTGTTCTAGTAACATGCTGTCACCAGAACATAAAGTGGGGAGAACTATCTCTAATTTGGGTGCCTATAAGTTTCCTTTCTATTACCACTTAGGAATGTATTGTTTGTGACATTGTAACTCAATACATTTATCCTGTATTACTTATTTATATTTTAGGTATCAAATAATTGTGGTCTTGTTTGTATACTGCTTCCCATTGCTTGTCATGGGAATAACATATACAATTGTTGGAATTACTCTATGGGGTGGAGAAATACCTGGAGATACATCTGACAAATATCATGAACAGCTCAGGGCTAAAAGAAAGGTAATTTTTATTTACTGATTATGGATAATAGTTTACTTCTTGGTATATAAATAAATGGTCATCCCATACAAATAGATTGTTTTAATAGTTTAGTCTTTTCCATGTGTTTTTATTTTTATTGTTTTATAAAACAAAACAGGCAAATGCATTAAAAAAAATATTTATTACATGTGTACGCCATAACAAATGATGCATCAGATTTAGTCCTTAGGGCTGTTTTTCTCTTTCTGTAACCACAGATTTCTGTAACCACAGCCATTATTTATAATAAGCACCTTAATGTTGATTAATGTGCACATATTTCTTTTTAAAAAGAAACACAACATTATTTCAATATCACCATCAATAATAGTATTATTTACAAGCAATGCTATAAGAACAAGCAATATGCAAAATTCCTGCATGTAACAAGATCGTGGGATATCACATGACTCTTAAAATCCCTGGATTGCTTACCTAAATATGTTACTATTTGTTCCTATACTTTTTCTGTTCTCCACCTTAGTTTACACATTGAAGGGCTATCCAGACATGCTACAGCAGGGGTGCCCATAAGGTTGATCACGATCTACCAGTTGCTCACAAAGCTAATGCTGGTAGATTGTGGTTGCGACTCCCTGTCCTGATCTCCCTCCTACTCTGCTAATGTGGCCAAATGTGTCAGATGCTGAAGCATCCGACACATTCGGCCCTCCCCTCCGTGCGTGCAGCATCCAATACATTTTGCCCAGAGACATTTGGCCTGCCCCTGCCAGCCCACAGCGTTGGAAACATTGGGACCGCACCATCCCAGCCTGCAGTGTCAGAGACATTTGGCCCGCCTCTTTCAGTTCGCAGCATTGGACACATTGGGACCTCCCCTCCCAGCCAGCTGTGCCGGAGACATTTGGCCAGCCCTTGTTAGCCAGTGCCATTGGACTACATGCTGCTTGTCTGTATGTGATGGGGTCGCTTCATACTGCTTGTCTGTATGAGATGGGGGTCACTACATGCTGCTTGTCTGTATGTGATGGGGTCGCTTCATACTGCTTGTCTGTATGTGATGGGGGTCACTACATGCTGCTTGTCTGTATGTGATGGTGTCGCTACACGTTGCTTGTCTGTATGTGATGGGGTCGCTACATGCTGCTTGTCTGTATGTGAAGGGGGTCGCTACATGCTGCTTGTCTGTATGTGATGGGGTTGCTTCATACTGCTTGTCTGTATGTGATGGGGTCAATAAATCATGTTTGTCTGTATGTGATGGGGTCGCTTCATACTGCTTGCCTGTATGTGAAGGGGGTCGCTACATGCTGCTTATCTGTATGTGATGAGGGTCGCTTCATACTGCTTGCCTGTATGTGATGAGGGTCACTATATGCTGCTTGTTTGTATGTGATGGGGTCACTACATGCTTTCCATGTACATATGATAGGGGACATGACATGCTAGTCAGTACTAGCATAAGGCTGCATAGACAGCCGTCTGAGGGCTGGGGGGTGAAAAATGCACTTTCATCTGTGTACACAAAAATCCTTGCACCGGCCCTGACCATGAGCCCGCAAAATATACACATGCGCCGCTGTGTCAGAGACATTTGGCCAGCCCCTTTTAGCCCGTGGCATTGGACACATTGGGCCCGCCCCTCCCAGCCTGCAGTGTCGGACACATTGGAACCACATATCCTAGCCTGCAGCGTCGGACACATTGGGACTGCCCCTCCCTGCCTGCGATGTCAGCCACACCAGTGCGTCTGAAGACCCGGGAGAGCCAGGAAGCAGGTAGTTACTACTGGCAACTGGCAAGTTAAAATCCGGACATGCACACACATGTATGCACTTTTTTATGTGTCTGACTTATCCCACTTTCCCAGTCACAATGGGGGAAGAATGATTGGCTGTGTAGTATATTATACCCAGGGCCCTCTTTAACGCAGGGCAAAAGGGGAAGCTGCCCAGGGCCCAGTCATTATTGTGGGGCATGTGCTGCAAAAACTCCTAACACTGGCCCTGCATCTCCACACTGACAGCAGAGCGGTGGATAATCACAGAGCAAAGCGGATGACACGGAGAGAAGAGCTGGGTGGATGCCCTCCCCCTCCATGCTGTGTATATGTATGTGCTGGAGGAGGCAGCTCTGCTATGAGCTGCTTTTCTGTATGTGATGGGGGTCAATACATACTGCTTGTCTGTATGTGATGCGGGTCGCTACATGCTGCTTGTCTGTATGTGATGGGGGTCGCTACATGCTGCTTGTCTGTATGTGATGGGGGTTGCTACATGCTGCTTGTCTGTATGTGATGGGGGTCACATCATGCTGCTGCTCTGTATGTGATGGGGGTCACTACCTGCTGCTTGTCTGTATGTGATGGCGGTTACTACATGCTGCTTGTCTGTATGTGATGGGGTCGCTACACGTTGCTTGTCGGTATGTGATGGGGTCGCTACATGCTACTTGTCTGTATGTGAATGGGGTCGCTACATGCTGCTTGTCTGTATGTGATGGGGTCGCTTCATACTGCCTGTCTGTATATGATGGGGGTCACTACATGCTGCTTGTCTGTATGTGATGGGGGTCGCTACATGCTGCTTATCTGTATGTGATGGGGGTCACTACATGCTGCTTGTCTGTATGTGATGGGGGTCGCTACATGCTGCTTGTTTATATGTGATGGGGGTCACTATATGCTGCTTACCTCTATGTGATGGGGTCACTACATGCTTTCCACGTAAATATGATAGGGGACATGACACGCTAGTCAGTACTAGCATAAGGCTGCATACACAGCCGCCTGAGGGCTGGGGGGTGAGGGGAGGAAGATGGGGTGAAAAATGCACTTTCCCCTGTGTACACAAAAACCCTTGCACCGGCCCTGCACATGAGCCCGCAAAAGATACACCTGCACCACTCTTCTGTTTACTGTGTATCTGTATTGCATAGTGTTGCTCTGCCCTCCACCCACCCTTAAGGGCTTGCTCACACAAATTAAAGTGTGTTCAAGCCTGGTTAGCTGCTGGAATGTACTGTATCGTATACTAAACTTCCCCCTGCATTCTGGGGCGGGAGGGGGCTAGTCCAGTGCGATCACAAAACATGCTGCTATAGCTATTTTTTGTAATCACACTGGACCGGAACGCAGGCATTGTTGTGCCACATGTTTTGGTGCAGGCGATTCCACTGTGGCGAGGGGGGAGGAACATTGACTTGAATGCACCACCACGCCTCCTCCCACCCCAGAATGCAAGGGGGAATTTAGAATGCGATACAGTGCGTTCCAGTGGAACGCACTGTAATTGGTGGACCAGCTAAATTAGAACCCCACCTGGAGCTCCTCCCACCGGACCAGCGCTGGCTCATTGCTTCTCTCTCCGGTGTTCGAACACAGTGAGTGAGGGCAGATTGGGGGGAGGGGGGATCACTATTAAGCAGAGTATAATAGTAAATGTATTGTCTGCACTGTATTAGCAGTATATACTCTATATGCACTACACACTGTATAGAGTACATATAGAGTACACACTGCTAATACAGTGCAGACAATACATTTACAATTATACTCTGCTAACATGAATGGATTAAATGATCTGTATGTAGCCCTGTAACAGGGATCATTTAATCCATTCATGTTAGCAGAGGATAATTGTAAATGTATTGTTGCAGTGCATTTTATATGTACATGTACTATATAGTACATATAGAATGCACTGCAACAATAGATTTACAATTATCCCATGTTAATATGAATGGGTTAAATGATCCATAGTACAGGGCTACATATCATGTACTACGGATCATTTAACCCATTCATGTTAGCAGGGGATAATTGTAACTCTATTACTGCAATGTACTGGACATGTGTGCTGTATATGTACTATGGATCATGATTTAACCTATTCATGTTAGCAGGGGATAATTGTAACTCTATTACTGCAATGTACTGGACATGTGTGCTGTATATGTACTATGGATCATGATTTAACCTATTCATGTTAGCAGGGGATAATTGTAACTCTATTACTGCAATGTACTGGACATGTGTGCTGTATATGTACTATGGATCATGATTTAACCTATTCATGTTAGCAGGGCAGAATTGCGAGCGCCTCCCACAAGCTGAGCGAGCACCAAGACGCGATGCAGCGATCCTGCCCAACGTCGACTACAAGAGGCACCGCGTGAGGCAACAGGGATCAGAGTGAAACTGTGAGTGAGGGAAGCTGGGACGGGGCTGGCTGTAAATCTATTGCTATAGTGTACTGGACATGTGTAATGTATATGTAGAACATATATACAGCACACACCTCCACTACACTCCAGCAATAGAGTTACAATTCTCCGCTGCTAACATGAATAGGTTAAATCATGATCCATGGTACATAACATGTAGTTGTACTATGGATTATTTAAAGTCACCTGTCCCTTTAAGAAAAAGTATTGGTAATTGGTATCGGCAAGTACATGAGGAGAAGTACTTGTACTTGGGCCTGAAAAAGTGGCATCGGGACATCCCTAATTTTAATGTGTTTGTTTTTCAGATACAGGTGTTTTTTCTTCATTGGTAGATCTCATTGAGATAGTCATTTTACAATAATGGGCATTTCCTAATAAAATTAAGTGAGACACTATGAGCTAGTCTCCTCTATTTCCAAAGTCAGCAATGTTTTTTTGCGGTCATTTTGTTGTTTGGCATCCTATTTCAGTCTACCTGCCATTGGCCTATTGCATGTGTATTGGATACAGAGCCTTTAAAACCTGCAAATTACATGTTTGTAACCACTGCCAAAGATACTGTCTCCATGGTGACTAAAAGAATAACAGCTAATTACACTGGATAAAGGTTTGAGGTGCTCGAATCATTGCCCTTGTTATTTTACAAGTGTATGTTATCTGATGTGTTTTTACTGTTGCAAGGTGGAAAAAAGTCCACACAAATATCAAGGAAAGATATAAGTAACTAAGATGAATTGAGTTTCCAATCTTTGTAGCATGATGCATTTTACCTAGGGCTTCACTGACATTTG